TGGTATGTGCATCATCAAAAGTAGGCATATCAATGCAAAGATGTGACCTCAGCATCGTGGTAGTTTGAACTTTTCGTACATGTCCATCTCGATTGCAAAACCTGCTAAGCCGTAAACAAAGAATACGAGGTGGCCGACATAACGCATGTGGAAATGCCTGTTGGTGCCAATCCAAAACTCCTTGTTGCAGCGAGCCTGAGTCCGCGAGCTCCAATGAAATAGGAACGTGAAGAGCACCACCATCAACCGATCGACAACTCGGCTCAAGTACACGTGCCTCCCATGCCCCATCAAAAGAAGCTGCAGCCGCCTGAGCAAAGATGTGATACGCGAAAGCCGTGACGTCGTGTTGTATGTGAGGCTGAGACCAATCCTTCAATGCCAGTCGCCACGGCACTAGCCCTGTCACCGAAACTCGATTTAAGTGCTGCTTTAGCAATGCATGAAAAGCAAGGTTGAGCCTGCCCATATGAAAATCCCGCTCACCTGATTCAAGAGTGATTGCCCACAAAGTTGCAGCACAGAAAGAGTTCATGTAGCAAGTGTTGCCAGTGTTCACGAAAACTAGGCGCAGCACCGACTGTAGAGCCTTTCTTGTATCTGGGCCGCAAGCTCGGAAATCCGTCCTCTCGATGACTGAATCCTCAATCCAACCAGGTGCAACATAGCATTGCCCACCAGCTTCCCCATCATTGTGTACATCTGATCCGCCGCCGGGTGCCGCAGTGACAGCTCGCAAATGAATGAAATTTGATGTCCACTCATCTCCTGAGCGAGCGGTCGCGTCGCCGCAAACTTCAACAGGATCTCCGGCTGAGCAAGCAATCGAAGCATGGTCCGAATGTGTTCTGTGNNGCCAATGTCATGGTTCCCCGAGCCTCGTCCGTGACCAGCTTGGCCTCCGCATGATTCCACACCTGATGCACCCATTTCCCGTCCTCCGACATCCATCCTGCCCCCTTGATCGCCTTCAGCGCCTCCTCGGCGCCGGCATCCTCGAGTCGCCGATGTCGCTGCAGGAGCTCCGTCAAGAGGCACAGCAGGATGGTCACCCTCAGCGAACGATCCAACGAGGAGGGGTTTGTCTGATACTTCTCGCGCCACTCCTGCGACACTTTGTAGAGCACCGGAAGGAGGGAGTCGGGAGCATTGGGCTGATTCTTGAAAGTAAAGATGTAAACCATGTCCTGCTGGAGCCTTCCCAGGAAGGCCTCGTGCCTGAGTACCAGTTTGATCAATAAGTCCAGGAGGTCCGGCTG